TAATAATAATAATAATAATAATAATAATAATAATAATCTTATATATAAAAGAAAGAAACATTGGGCAACCCTAAAAAACCCTAATGGTATTTATGTAATTATATATTTTTAATTTTTTTTTAAACAATTATCAAAATTGAAACTAAATCCTGAAGAATAATATATAATGGTACTTTTGTAATTATTTATTTTTAATTATTTTTGTTTACTAATTTTTTAACTATAATTTTCAACAATTATCGATCTTCTATTTTTCATCAATATATCTCAAATCTTAAGAGATAAAATAGAAATTCGATTTGTTAAATCTTAATCTATATATTTGGATTATAAATCTTAATATGTCAGATTTAAAAAACCTAATCTTATATAAAATATGAATAATACTACATTATTAAATTTTACTATGTTAGTATACTATATTTTCTTATTATGTATTAAATTGATTAATTTTTTTTTCACTTTTGAAATAATATCCCGTGCATCACACGGGGGAAAAAATGCTAGTAATAATAATAATAATAATAATAATAATAATTAAAAAATTCAAAAAAAAAAAAAAAAAAAAGAACGGTAATTTGGACTTCTCCATATTAAAAGAAGTATTAAGGGGTTATATCAAATAACCCCATTAACAATATTTTAGAGATAAATGCAGTACTTTTTTTTTTTTTTGAAAAAAGATAAATGCAGTACTAATCAAGTTTTGTAAGATTTCACATTGAAACAGGAAAGAAAGACCCTAAACAATTGAATAAAAAAAAGATTATGAATGGATAGGACAAACAAGGGTATCATATGGAATACTTTTAATTTAACTTGTAATATAATCCTGAAACACTAAACTACAAAACAATAATAATAAAATTGAAAATTCATTCAAAATGGAGCAGCCTCTACGTAACTTTTTGATTTTGTTGTCATCTTTAACTTGCCGTGTTTTCCAGGGAGAAGAATTAACCGAATCATGAGTTGTGTAACTATAAATACCTCATGTCTTATACAAGGATTCACAGCAATAATACTTTCTCATCATAAATATTCCAATACATTTTAATTACCATATCCAGCTAGAAAAAGGAAAATGGCCTCGATCACACCGAATTGGAGGTTTATTTTAGCTGTCGTGTTAGTATTGCAAATGTGGGCTTCTCAAGCCACTGCCCGCACACTGCCCAACGCATCAATGGTTGAAAGACACGAGCAATGGATGGTTCAATATGGCCGTACTTACAAAAATGATGCAGAGAAAGCCAAGAGATACAATATTTTCAAGGACAATGTGGAGTACATTCAGTCCGTAAATGAAGCTGAAACTCGGACTTACAAACTTGCTATCAACAAATTTGCTGATTTAACAAATGAAGAATTTCAAGCATCTCGAAATGGATACAAAATGAGATCTCTATCAAAATCATCATCTAAAGTTTCATCATTTAGGTACGCTAATGTCAGTGCAGTTCCACCGAGCATTGACTGGACAAAGAAGGGAGCTGTAACTCCTGTTAAGGATCAGGGGCAATGTGGTAATTAAGTCAAAATAACCCATATCTACATCTAATATTTACTTCTTCTTTTTTTTTTTTTTGGAGAAATTGTAGCATTACATAGACTAATTTATCATCAACAAAAAAAAAATACAGGATGTTGCTGGGCATTTTCAGCTGTTGCAGCCACAGAAGGAATAAACCAACTCACAACGGGGAATCTGGTTTCGTTATCCGAACAAGAACTTGTGGATTGTGACACAAGCGAAGATCAGGGTTGCAACGGTGGTCTAATGGACAATGCATTCGAGTTCATTATAAGTAATAACGGACTCACAACTGAATCCAATTACCCGTACGAAGGAGTAGATGGAACATGCAACTCTAAGAAGGAATCTTCTCATGCGGCAAGGATTACAGGGTATGAGGATGTTCCTTCAAATAGTGAGTCAGCACTGCTCAAGGCTGTGGCTAACCAACCAATATCTGTTGCAATTGATGCTAGTGGATCTGATTTTCAGTTCTACTCTGGTGGAGTATTTACTGGACAATGTGGAACTGAACTTGACCATGGTGTGACTGCGGTTGGTTATGGAGTGACTAGTGATGGAACGAAGTATTGGTTGGTTAAGAACTCGTGGGGAACTAGTTGGGGTGAAAATGGATATATTAGAATGCAAAGGGATATCGATGCTGCTGAAGGTCTCTGTGGCATTGCCATGCAAGCTTCCTATCCTACTGCCTAAAATGTGTAAAAACTTAAGATGGTCATATACAAGTATCCCAAGAAGTAGTGTTTCATGTCCATATTATGTGAATATATGTGTAAACTAATTTGCTGTAAGAATTTTATGTAAAGCTTGAAATCAAACGAACTTCCAATTTCACCACTTTCACAACCTCATAGCGTGTATTAGTACAAACACACACTTTGTCTAAATGTTCAAGAGAATAGGATTAAAATCTTCCTTTTATTATATAGGGCAATTAGCCAAATATATAAACACAGTAGTTACAACATAAAAGCAATTCAAGAAATTTACGTAAAATCTGTAATAGCAACTTGATAAGTTCTATACCTACTGGAAATCAAATAAATTAAGGATAAACGGTACCTTTTCGAATATATTCAGCGATTATTTCTAACATACCTCCGCAAGACAGTGGATCCATTTGAGACACAAATCTTGTTTCGAAGTAGTTCATGGCCTTGATAATGCTTTGGTAAGTAGGTCAGCCAACTAGTCTTGAGAAGAAACATGTGAAACTCAAAGCTTACGAGAAGCAACTTTGTCTCGTACAAAATGGTAGTTAGTGGAAATTATGCTTCATTCGCGATTGGATTAAACACATGATTAGATCATATCTTTGTTGCCACCATGTTGTCATAATGGATAGTAGGAGGAGCTGGGGTAGCACCAAGTTCTTAACGAAAAAAGAGTATCCATGAGAGCTTTATGGTAGTAGAAGGAACCGATTGATATTCCGTCTCTGCTGAAGATCGGGCTACCGATTTTTTATTTCTTAGATGACCAAGGGATGAGGTTCCCACCTAAGAATATAAGATATGCTGAAGTGGAAGTTCGATTGTAGTGATTTCCAGCTTAGGCGGCTTCGATGTATGCATAAAGAGAGAGAGAGAGAGAGAGAGAGAGAGAGAGAGAGAGAGAGAGAGAGAGAGAGAGAGAGAGAGAGAGAGAGAGAGAGAGAGAGAGAGAGAGAGAGAGAGAGAGAGAGAGGATGCTTTCGTTTCAAATGAAGCCCATAGTATATATATTGTATGTTTTACGTAATATATAAGATATTTTGCTGTTGTCCAGTGTTTGTGAGAAGGTGACTACATGAATTGAGCCAAATTATTCACAGTATATGAGATATCCGGTCTTTTAAAGGATATACACAACTTGTCTGTATTTAACGATATTAGTAGAAGGTGAGCCATCATGGAACCAAAGAATCAATAGTGGAAAGTGGGATCGATTTTTTTCACTGTCCATTTTTTCCAAGTATGAAGATCATGAATATACTTATGTTGACTGAGAAACAAACTTTGAGGTGTCGATCGAAAGAACTTCCACACAAAGAAAGTAATTAAGAGGCCTAAAATTTGTTAAATAGAATTGTTGATATAATGCTTCTGAAATGGGATCGATTTGTTCGATCAGTATTGTTTCCTGTAATAAGCAAGTCGTCAATATATTCAAGAAAGTAGATGATGTTACCATTGACTTTAGAAGACCTAGATCAAGTTCTTTGCCTTCCCTCTCCTCCAAGATGTAACTTTGCTCCAAAATACCGGATTACATTTTAATTGACAAAAAATTCTTTTATACAACGCCCCACCGATCAATCAGTACTTACTCAACAATCGGTCGGTACTTACTTACAAATCGATCAATGGGCTAAAATTAGGTTGTTCAGCGCATCGCGCAGATCGAATCAATAAGTTTCTTGAGATCGACCGATCACTCTTTTCTTTGCCTTTTGCGGTCCGTTGTCGCCCTCGTTTCACTCTGCTCGCCTTTATAGCAAAAACATCACGAAAAACCATACAATGCTAAAACTGCATAATTCTACCTCCTATTTACAGTAATCTATATATATATATATATATATATATATATATATATATATATATATATTGATTGAGAATATTAAATATTGTGACCAGATGTAATTATAGTTAAACCTCTATAAATTAATAGAGTCAGGACTAGCAAAACTATATTAATTTAGTGAAATATTAAATTATCGAACTAATAATTTAGTAGTTTTTTACCGAGTCGGGGCCAGAAGAAACTATAATTTAAGCGAGGTTATTAATTTATCGAGTATTAATTTATCGAGGTTCTACTTTATTATTTTTTTAATGTTCTTAAAATGATTTGATTTTTAAACAATTGTGTAGTTTTTCATCTAAATTTTTTAATGTTAATTTATTTTAATTTATTAAAGTTAAATGAATTCTGACATATTTATACTATTATGATTAAATAGGATTATTGATAGTGATTCGGCGTATATCTATAAACATAAGTTTGTTTGTTTCTTATTACATGCTTGAATTTAGATTGAACGGGTCCATTTTAATTATTAACACTTCATTTCATGTATTTGTAACTTAAGTCATAAAAGTAAATAACTATGCATTAACTCTCCATTATAAAGATTCATGTATACAAAAGAATATCCACATTGGGTGTAGTTCATAATTTTATAGAAGAATCAGCAAGAATTCCTTCAGCCATCTATCTCAGATTTGCAGGTCTAAACGTTTGGAATTCACAGTATTGTTCACATCAATATAAGAAACTCAAAAGTTTCAATCAATGCTTAAGAAAACGGTTTCAATCATTGGATTCAATTATTTAAGGCATTCCGACGGTATCTTTGAAATGCTTACAATTTCATTTTGTGATGAAATAGAGAATTTAATGACCGTTGGATTCTTCTTCCTTTTCTTCTTCGTAACAAGGATCGGTTGAAGAGGCTCAAGGTATTTGCTTTATTTTCTAAGTGTATTTCTTTGATTTTCTGGTTGTATCTATTTTATTGAATGTCTATTATGCCAATGAATATTTTATTGTTTATTAATTTTAATTGCATGTAGCAAATGATGGACATTTACATAGGGAAAAAAAGAAAAAAAGAAACCAGCCAGTTATTTTGGCTTGGCACATCTTCTAGAAAGGGAATGAACTACAGTGGAAGCCTAAAACAAGACACAAAATTAGAACAAAACTAAATTAATTTTTCCAATTCAAAGTTATAAAGTGTCTTTTCTTCGTCTTCTTCTTTCTTCTATTATTTTTATTTTTGATTATTTAATTAACCTCAGAAAAGATCATGTTGCTGATGAATCAATCTAATGTAAAAAAACAATATTGTTTAGTGTTTTATTTCCAGAAGTTGAGCAAAAAAAAAAAATTGTTTGCAAAATTCATCATATAAATTGAGATTATAATAAGATTTTAATTTGATTTATGTAAATAAGATTGCAAGACTACATAGTCCCCACTCTTGATGGTTTCCTCTCTAGCATCCAGTATCCACCCATTGAAGCACATAACTTTGAGATCAAGCAAAGGTTTACGATGATACTCCAAAATAAACTTTCTGGATACCTGGAATTGAACATCATCAAAACGGTGTTTCCCAAGAAGAGCTCCAGTTTCTTCTCTTCAAACACTCATTGCAAGAAAAAGTTCGTCAATGGTTGATGTCCCAAGCTCCTCACTCCATCTCCTCATGGCCTCAACTCCTACAACTCTTCATGCAAGTTTACAGCTCACCAGAAAAGGATGAAAGAATACGAAGGGAGATTCACAATTTTTTTCTAAGAGCGAAGAGAAGCATTATTCGAATTCGAGGCTTGGGAGAGATTCAAGACGCTTTTGAGACAATTTCCAACTCATGGAGTAAAACAGTGGCGGCAAATCCACATATTTTATCAAATGATCAATAAGAATGTGAGAATCGTCTTAAATGCATTATCTAGAGGCAACTTTATGAGTTAATCTATTCTTGATGCATTTATTTTGTTGGATCAGATTGCGCATAACAGGTTCGCCAAATCAAGCGAAAGGATGACCAGTGGAGCCAAGAAAGTTGCCGAGGTTTTGGAACTAGACGCACTTACAGCCCTTCAAGCTCACGTCGCCCAAATTTCTCAATAAAATATCTCCTTTTACATCTAGGCAAACCCACCACAACAAGTCCACACAGTGCAAGCACCCGATGTGCCCTTATGCTGCGAAATATGGAGGCAATCATTACTCACTCCAATGCTAGCAAGCGATGGGATAAGCCTTTTAGTGAAGTTTAAATAATTACTTCGAGGATCTTGACGCATGAATTTGGATTCGATTTCTTCAGTAAAGTTGTACAGAAGGTTGATATACATTACAATAACAAGTTTAGTTTTTATCATTGTGGTTTTAAGTAGTTTGATTCGTACGAACAACAACAACAACGGATTTGGGGGAACATAATCTACTGTGACATATGATGTTCGGAGAAAAAATCGAGGGATTTGGAGAAATATTTGGGAAAGACTCTTGCACGAAAATTGTGTATCACGTCGAAGTGCGAATGTACGGGTTAATGTTAATCTCATAGATTTGTTTGCGTAGCAGTAAAGAAGGGGTAAACATATATGATTGGAATCATCCAAACAGGGGACTCATAGTTGTGTTCGTTCCCGAAATTTTGCTCTTTATTAAGTTTAATTGCATATAGGTAATGATGGACATTTACATAAGGAAAAAAAGAAAAATAAACTAGTCAGTTATTTTGTCTTGGCACATCTTCTTGAAAGGGAATGAAGTACAGTGGAGCCCTAAAACAAGACACAAAATTACAAGAGAAGTAAGTTGGTTTTTGCGATTCAAAGAAATAAAGGGTCTCTTCTTCTTATTTATTTATTTATTTTTATTTTTATTATTTCATTAAACTTAGAAAAGATCATCATGTTGCTCATGAATCAAACTAATGAAAAGAACAATATTGTTTAGTGTTTTATCTCCTGAAGTCGAGCAAAAAAAAAAAAGATTAAAAAAACAATTGTTTGCTAAATTCATCATATAAATTGAGATTATAATCAGATTGTAATTTTATTTATGTAGTAAATTGAAATATTTATAGGCTTATGTATATTTATGTTAATAATCTATGTGAATTCACATATAATTATTCATATAAGGTTAAATATCGATTCCTTTGGTAATGCAGTACCTGATTTTGTGAAGTGATTATAATTATTCACAAATAGATTTTCCAATTGACTTGAAATTCTTCTTTTGGTTTGAACATCAGATAAATTTATTAACTATTCGAGTTTGTGGTACTGATTTCTAAATATCTTCATTGTATTTGAGTGTTTAATCGCCGT